AGGTGAGCCGCGGACCTCCGGTTCGGTGGTCGGCAACCCCTCCAAGACACGGTTATCGAACCGTGAACAGCCCTACAAAATCGAGAGAAATTGAGAGATATTCTGTACCACTTAACCTACTCTGCTGGACAGCCCAAATTTAATCTCGGGCCAACTTAAGGTTGCTAGAATTTCTGCGACAAAGGCTCTGTGTTCTTTTTTTAGTGGTTTGTGTTTATTTTTGGGTTTTGGGTTGGGTTTTCTGTGCAAACCAAAATAAGCTGTAAGTGGGCTCGAAGGCACAATAACCCGAAATGCTTCCGTCGAGGACGTAAGTTGCCATTTGTACCTTTGCATATTTGACATTGATGGGTCTCGGGTCAGTGAGAAGAAAAAGAGTGTTAGCGTAGCTGTGCCATGTTCTGCGTTTTGGGCAGGACTTAGAATTTACCAAAACAAAAAAAAGAAGAAAAAAAAGAAAAAAGATCCGCGAAAGCAATAGTGAATCTCTTAGATTAGATCGATCACTTCATATCCCTCTCATCGATTCGTCAGCTTAATTGATTTTCTTCCCGGTCTCAGTTTCTCAAGCAGGCAAGTCATTTTGTGTTTCAACAATTTTTGCTTCCAATTTAGGGCTTCTCTGATTAATTCGCGCTAAAATTGGCTGAATTTTCTTGGTGTTTGGTTGCAGGATTTCTCGAGTCTCAGTGTGACCTGAGAAATCGGCAATGGATTTGGTCTCTGGTTACAAGGTGACCTAACTTCTCCCTCTCTCTCTCTGTCTTTCTTTTGTCCTTACATACTCGTTTGGTCTCTTATGGCTTCGCGTGCAGGGGGTTGTAGGGCTCGTTTTTGGCAACGAGAAATCTGGTTCTTCAAATGAAGATAGGTACTTCACTCCTTCTCTATTCACCAAATTCCATACACACTACTCCCGCTGTTGCTTAGTTATAATTGTTGAATGGTATGTGACCAATCTACTCTGTCATTGTTTCAATATGTAGCTATGTTGAACGCTTGCTCGATTGTATTAGCAATGGTAAACTGTCAGAGGACAGGAGGACTGCTATGTTCGAGCTTCAATCTGTTGTGGCAGAAAGCTCTAATGCACAGCTAGCATTTGGAGCAATGGGTGATTGCTCCTCTTCTTGTTTGCAAATTGCAACAGTGGTTTAGTTTTTCATTTTATGTTTGTCATCTATGACATTTTTCATTCATTTATTTTTTTCTTTTTTGCAGGCTTTCCTGTTATGATGGGCATATTAAAGGAAGAACGCGATGATGTTGAAATGGTTGCTAAATTTTCTTCTTCTTTTCACATTTCCCCTTAATCGCATTGTTTTCCCCGAGTTATCATGTTGTAGAATCCGTTCTGGTGTTTTATTGAAACTGTTTGGGTGCCACTGATGAAACTGTTTTTATTTTCTGATAGAGATATTTCACTTTTACTGTATCTTTTTAGGTTTCTGGAATGCGAATGTGATTGTTATGTCCTTTTTACCTGTCCCAGTGATTCTTATGAATTTTCCTCCAAACGTAATTCTTAATTTCAATTTATATTCATGCATAAAGTCTCATTTATGTTTTCCGCATGTGCAGGTTCGAGGTGCCCTAGAAACTCTTGTAAGTGCCTTGACTCCTATTGACCATGCAAAAGGCCCAAAGAATGAAATTCAACCTGCTCTAATGAATGCTGATTTGCTCTCCAGAGAAGCAGACAACATTTCACTTCTTCTGAGTTTGTTGGTTAGAGTTCTCTAATTATATTTGCAAAATTCTTTTCATCATTCTATTTAAAGTTGCTTGATTTTTGCTATATTTCTTGGTTCTTGCACATAGTTTGACAATGTTTATATTTATTTTTGTTGTTTTTGCAGTCAGAGGAGGATTTCTATGTACGATATTACACTCTTCAACTTTTGACAGCTCTTCTCACAAATTCTCCAAATAGGTATCAGTTTAGAACTACTATTTCCCTTTAGTCTAATTTTTTTGGATTCTTTTAGTGGTTTTGGAAATAAATTTTTCTGAGTTCCTCTTCAGGTTACAGGAAGCCATTCTGACCATACCTCGTGGTATAACTCGCTTAATGGATATGCTTATGGATCGTGAGGTACAATTCACTGAATGATAATTTATCATTTTGCATTTAACTCTATTATCAACATGTTTCGCTACAATTTAACTTTTAAGCTAAAATTCATGTTTATTGGTCACCTCTCTATTTGAGGATTTTTTTGAAATCTTTTGGAACCTATGAATTATTGAAATATGATTGTGGTATCAATCTTTTCCTGTTGTTCAGTCATACTGAACTATTGTGTTTTCCTTCTAGGTTATACGAAACGAGGCCTTATTACTTCTTACTTACTTGACCCGTGAAGCTGAGGTGAGATTTTTCTCCCACATGATCCTTTGTCTCTTCTTTTTATTTAGTTAAATTTTTTGAACTTGTGACTGAAAAGTGCGTTTCTTTCCTTTTTTTGAAAAGAGACTCAATATTTTGTTAGTGTAAACAATAAAATTACAATCAAGTGGGCAAGATGTCCATTCCAAAGTACAACAGAACACTAATACATAAAAGCTATCAATTGCTAAACCATCAGAACTGAAAAGTGTGTTTTTACCTTTTTATTAACTGATAGATTATTATGATTTCAGGAAATTCAAAAAATTGTGGTCTTCGAAGGTGCTTTTGAAAAGATTTTCAGCATCATCAAAGAAGAAGGTGGTTCCGATGGTGGTGTTGTTGTGCAGGTAATTCTCTTTGACTTATTCTTTTCATATTTAATTCCCTGTGTGACTTGTTTAAGTATCGTTGCTGATAAACCACTTGTCAAGCTTCCTTCTATGGATTAGTTTTGTGAAATTGACATGAATAAAAAAGCCTTTCTTTCTTTGGTAGGTTTAGATTTTATAACTATACTGATATTTTCACCAAATTTTATAGGTAAAATAAAAATTTTCCACTATTTCACTGCAAGGGATGCAAATGTTTGTTTGTTATATACTAAACTTGTGAAACACTTACTTGTCATGTTCTAATGCCTTGCTTATAGAGGGATGGCTGTTGGCACACTGTGTTACAAAATAAAATGTGTGTATTTCATAAATCAAGTTCCCATTTCTAATACCCGCTAATCTCTAAAAGAATTTGAGAAAGCAATTGATTTTGGAAATGGTTCTAATGTAATACACTTCTGCAGGACTGTATTGAATTGCTGAACAATCTTATTCGGAAGAATGGATCTAATCAGGTTTTTAGTTTTTGCTGTAGCTCTTATTCTTGTAATCATTGTTGTCATTTGTGCATTTTGTTTATTTTTGCTTCTAATTAAAAACATGTGTCATTCAGGTACTACTGAGGGAGACGATAGGATTTGACCCCTTCATGTCAATTTTGAAGCTACGAGGGAGTACTTACAGCTTCACTCAACAAAAGGTTAGATACTCGATTTTCATAACTTTGTATTGCAGACTGTTTTATTTATTATGGCACAACTCTTACTGGTAATTTGTTGTTGACTTTGAATTAAACTCCATGCCAGTAGACAATTAATCTACTCAGTGCGTTGGAAACTCTTAATTTGCTAATAATGGGAGGTTCGGAGGCTGATCATGGAAAAGATGCAAATATGCTGACAAATAGGACAACCCTCGTTCAGGTAGTCTATAATACTCTCTCACTGAATTAAAAATTCTGTGATATGTAGTCTTTCTGATTTTTTAATTTGCTGGATGTAGAAGAAAGTCTTGGACCATCTTCTAATGCTGGGTGTGGAAAGCCAGTGGGCACCTGTTGCTGTCCGTTGTGTAGTAAGATAGTTCTTCACCTTCTTCATCCTCTCTCTCTCTCTCTCTCTCTCACACTATATTATATACGACCAATCAATGTCAGCTGGACATAAAAGTACTTTACCTTTGAGCCTGTCATTATGGACTAATTACATGAACTCTCCGTATCTGTTTCCCTGAAACTTATGTGGCATGCTAGGTGATAAAATTAATGCTGATTTTCAAAAGGAAGACACATATTTGGCTTAGGAACTTTTTGGTAATGATGTTTATATAGTTCCTTGTAGAGATTGATGTAATTGTTAGGGTTTGTTCACTTTGTCAGGCACTACGATGTATTGGTAATCTGATTGCTGGACATCCCAAGAATCTTGATGCCCTTGCAAGCAAATTTCTTGGAGAGGGGCCGCAGGAACCTGCTTTGAACTCAATTCTTCGAATCATCTTGCGGACTTCCAGTATGCAAGAATTTGTTGCTGCAGATTATGTTTTTAAGAGCTTTTGTGAGGTTGATAATGTGTATATGCTTCTTATACCATTGATTACTTTGCTGTGCTTCGTGGGCATATTTAATTTATTACTGGCATACGAAAATTACAGCTTCATGATCGTATACTTTTTACTTCTAATTTTATGTTATAAATTTTCTTCCACCTGGTTTTTATCAGAAAAATGCTGATGGCCAAACTATGTTAGCGTCAACTTTGATTCCTCAACCTCATTCCATGGCTCATGCTCCTGTTGAGGAAGATGTGCACATGTCCTTTGGAAGGTTTGTGTATTGTATGTGCTTTTTTTCACTGCATGCTTCTAAATTCTCTGTTTATTTCAGGCTTGATTGAATTATCAAAACTTTGTTGCATCAGCTAAAGCTTGATCATCTTATTCTTTTCATCTTTCTTTGTTGGAAAAGCTACTTGTGCTAACTAATTATATAATAATTTGATTCTCTTGCAGCATGCTATTACAAGGTCTTGCAGCATGTAACTTTGTTTAAATTTAGTTACAAAAGGTATACATCTGACACATGACATTAGAAATCCAGGCACTTAAACAATTATGGTTCAGCATCTATTGGGCTCAATCCCACATTAATTGGTTCTCAGGGCCGAACAGCCTTTAATGAAGTCCCTCTATTGGGCCCAAGCCCACATCAATTTGTTCTCAGTGGCCTTACAGCCTATTATACCACACCTGTGCGAGAGTGATTGCTTTGCGAGGATGTCTGATCTGTAAGTTTTATTATTGCTTTTTAGGGTTCTGTTCCTGTATATGATTTTTTTGTTGCTTTCGTTTTTAATTGGTACATTACATTTAGGCGAGCTTGGATTAGGCAACGCCTGCCAGAGACTTCTTTCGATGAAACCGCTGTGGATAATCTAACGGGGGAAGCGCAGCGTGTTTTGGACAACATCCGATTTATGTTGTATCTTTATTTAAATTTAGTTTTTTTTTAGGGTTTTGTTGCAGATTGTTGTTTTCTGTTATGGCGAAATTGCTAGACGCTACTTACTTAATTGGATTGAGTCTTGGTATGGAAAACATACCAAGTGAGAACTTTTCAAATTCAGAGAAACCCTGGAATTAAAATGGGCGATCTTGAGCCAAATCCTTTCTATTTTTGATTGTTATATATAAACTTTAGTGTGTTAAAGAAGTCAATGTCTATTTAGGAGGTCAAATCCTGCAGCTGCAACTGCTGAGGAACCTCAGCCAGTTCACTTGTTTCGACCTGAGCTGCTGCCTTTGCTGTATAATCATCGATTCAATGCCAAATATGGGGTACATGATGCTGCAACATTCCTGTCCTCCAACTAGAGGCTTCACGCAATGCTGCCGCCCGATAAGTCTATTGGGCATGTTGGTATTGCTTTGTATTTGCAGCCGTGTCCCTTTCCCGGCTTGCAGGAGATTATAGATTTTCGAGAAAGGGGTGCGGCTGCAAATACAAAGCAATACCAACATACCCAATAGACTTATTGGGCGGCAGCATTG